CTGCTGAGAGAATGCACCCAAAGATGAGCTGCCGAGAGAATGCCTGAAGCAACAGCAGGCATGGGAAGAAGTTCAAGCAGAGGAAGTGCCATGGCAAGACAAGACCCTGCATGGGATGTACCATCAACAGATAGCTGAGGTGGCTGACATTGGGAAATCCTACCGTGGATGGAAAGGGCTGGACTAAAAGACAGCACTGAGGCACTGATCAGAGCAGCACAAGAATAGGCACTAAACACCAGATTCATAGAAGCAGGGGTCTACCACCCTAGACAGGACCCAAGGTGCAAACTGTGCAGAGAGAACTCAGAGACAGTCCAACATATAGTGTCAGGGTGTAAAATGCAAGCAGGAACAGCATACCCTGAATGGCACAACCAACCAGCTGACATTGTGTACAGGAACATCTACACAATGTGTACACAAGCCCAGATGGGAGATTCCAGAGAAGGTCGTGGAGAATAACAGGGGGACTTCCAGATCCAGATGGACAAGCAGGTACTGGCCAATCAACCAGATATTGTGGTAGTAGACAAGGACCAGAAGACAGAGGTGGTGATAGATGTAGTGGTGCCAAGTGACAGCAACATCAGCAAGGAGGAGTATGAGAAGCTGGAGAAGTACTAGGGCCTGAAGGAGGAACTAGAGAGGATGTGGAAAGTAAAGGCCAAAGTGGTCCCAGTGGTGGTAAGAGCACTAGGGGCTGTGACTCCTAAGCTGGGAGAGTGGTTCCAGCAGATCCCAGGAACAACATCAGATCTCTTTGTCCGGAAGAGTGCAGTGCTAGGCACAGCTAAGATACTGTGCAGAACCCTCAAACTCCCGGGCCTCTGGTAGAGGACCTGAGATTGAGGAAGACACATACCGTCCATAGGGGTGAGAGGGGATTGAGAGAGAGAGAGAATGTCCCTTTCTCCACAGATGTCAGTAGATGCCACAATAACATCACACCTGACAACACATACATGTGGCATCGCTCTTCCCCTTACTTCTGCAGACACCTATGCCCTTGGCTGGCTTTACATACCACATTTAGCTATGTAGTTTGTCCAGCTTTGACTTAATGGCTGTTTTTGCATGACACACTTAATCATGGTTAACTCAGCTATGATTTACTCATTTAGTCCAATGACTCACTAACCAATAACATCATATCTGTGGAGTCTGGATTTATATAATAGGGCTAACTAAAACGTGGTTGCCTAGTGTGTGGCTCAGTGTGAATCTATCCATTATATGGCTTATAAACTACACTTTATGATTGTGTGAATTTAGTCAAACAACAACATTAAATAAACCATAAATTTTAGATAATGTGAATCTAGAATTTAAGATAAAGTAGTATTTATTTCAGGAACAGGACTGAAACTACAGGTGTTTACGAAAGGGGATACCAAGCTGAACCAGTGGAATTGTGTAGAATATATTATTAATCTTTAAATGTTGATTTTACCATTTACATATTCAATTAATATGTAATTTATATGCTATGCTAAATAAGTTGGTTCAAATAGCTAAAATATAGTTTGTACTTCATATTGGTATGGGGGTAACAAATACAGTTTCCCTTCTCTAGTGCACAGCATCCTCTGTGAGAATGTGCCTGAACTGACAAACTTGTTAAAACTGCCTTTTATAAAAGTTTGCTACGTAAGACCAGGGGCATTATTTACATATTAAAAGCTTAGAAGGGGATATTAAATGTATGTCTGTGGGTTAATCCACCTCTTTAAAAGTAAGGATTCCAAAGAGTAACACAAGAGCATCAAGGCAAAGCAAGAACCTGCTTCCAAATCCTACAGTGTTCACTGGCATACTATAACCACTTTTTAACATCAAGCAACTCTGAAGCATATTCCTGAGTTCACACATCTCACTAAGCCAAAGTTTGATTAACCATGTTTTGTTGAATAAACCACAATTGGCTAGGTTCATATACTAAACTAAACTAAAATCAACCTGCCTGAGCTCACATATCATGCTAATCCAGTGATGGTGAACCTATGACACGTGTGTCAAAGGTGACACACACCATGATGTTTTGGGTGACACACCAATGTTAACCAACATCCATCAACAACTATTCTCCTGTTTGAGTTACCAAAGAAACTGAGTCTGTTTTACTTGTATTTCATGTTTGTAATTATTTGATCTTTCTTTATATAATACATAGCACCACACATGACTGCACTGTATTTTTTTTTTAAATAAATGAATATGTAAAGAATTGTTTCTCTTTTGTTTGGGGGAGAGGGGTGACACACCTGCAAAGTCAAGTTATGCATTTTCTGAATTTTTGACATGCGGAGCCTAAAAGGTTCGCCATCATTGTTCTAACCCATAATGTGGTTTGCTTGTTTGTGGCCTAGCATGATACATAGTTTGTAAAGCAATGCTTATGGCTTAGCCCAAAGCATGAACTCAACCATTTGGGATTAAATACTATAGTTAACAAAACTATTGCTTAGTATGATACATAAATCCCTTCCCTGCCTTGAGGAGATTGGGCACGTGCAATAAACAAAATGTTTCCAGTCAGTGCTACCGAAAAGCCTATTGCTTCAAGCAAAGATGTTCAGTCATCTTTTGCTTAAACGTATTTTATTGAATAAACCACAATTGGCTGGGTTTACATCATATTCTAAACCACAAACTAACCATATTTTATCTTAGCATATTGGGATGAATCCAACCATTGTGTTGCACCCACCTTTATTTAAACTTACAGCAGACCCATTTTAGAGAGCCAGTTTGGTGTAGGCTAAGGCACCTGGCTAGAAACCGGGAGACTGTGAGTTCACTGCAGGGACTGGTCCAGGCAGTTGCCAAGGAGTCCACGCTGATTTGAAGGCACAAAAAGAAAAGAAAAAGAAAAAAAACCCATCTTTAAGAAAGAGGAGGATTTAAGCCAAGCTGGAACCGATCCCCCTCAGCCCCCCCGAAAGAGGGTCGGTTCCAGCTTGGCTAGATACAATCCCACTTGGTCAGCACTCGGATGGGAGAAACGTCCGGGCTGAGGACTGGAATGTGAAGTCAAGAAAAGTTCAGAAAACATCGCTGAGGGAGGCAAGAGTAAATCACTTCCCTACGTGCAGTACCGTTGCCGGGAAACAACAGGTCCATGTAGTCCTCTGAGGTCGAACTCAACTCCAGGGAGACTTTATTCCCAATATGCATAAATCGAGCCTTCGACTCACGTTCGTTCAGAAAGCAAACCCAACAGAAAGCAGCAGGACTTAATCATATTAGGGACCGCGCTATATTTGACAGGAAAAATTACTCTGGGTTAGATTCAGAGAAAAGACACAAAAGTGAGACTTTTGCCAGCTGACGTTAGCCCTTCTCAACAAAGAAACGCCCAGTTCTCACCCACTTATGAACCTCTCGAGCGGGCAGCTGCTTCTCACTCGGCAGCCGGGCCGGGCTTTTCCCCCCGGCACGTCGGAAGGGAAAAGGGCACCATGAGGGGAAAGAAGAAACGCGCCAGAGCGCGTGCGAGAGAAACTCTCTGGCGGGCCGGCGTCCCTCGCCGCGGCCAAT